TTCCAACCAGTGAGTAGTCTCAAAGTACGATGGGTGAGTTTTATATAGTCTTCTTTGTTTCCAATCCCCATCAGCTGATTTGTTGCCGCTCCAGAGGCTGAACTGTATGAAGACCCCAACCACCACACACCAGGTGAAGTTAAGAGACTTTCCGACAGTTCATAGTGCCAACAAATGTCACAGGCTCCGACCAAGTATAACCACATCCTTTGGAAATCCTTCCATTTTTGCGATTTCAAAACAGCCTAACTTGCTGTAAAATTCCAAAATTCTTTTATCATCCGGTCTCACTTCACAGAAAGCCCCTCGGGAGCCTAGGAAAAAAACATATTCAAAATGTGAATGTCAATTATGAACGTGAAGTATATCAATAATTATGAATATGAAGAATTAAGAATATATGTTATGATTAATCTTTAATATATTCCAAATAGATCATAGTAGGAGCTTATCTATATCAGCTCCTAAATTTCATATAATTTTTAAATTCATATTAAAAGTTAATGAATATTAATATTCATCAATAATGGATGCTGCAGTGATAACTATCTTAAAATGATGGATATGTTAACTAGCTTGAATATGGTGATTATTTCACAATATATTTCAAGTCACCAAATTGTATATCTTAAATAAATACAATTCGTAACTATAAGATATATTGCCCCTCACCCCCAAAATTTTTTTCAATGGTGAGTAAAACTTTCCCAGAAAGAAAATCTTTTGACAGAGAGGTTGTAAGAAACCTCAAGGCAAAAGATAACTGTTTAATATAATAAAACGTACCTTTGAGGAGCCCACAAGGCAGAGCCTATTCCAGCCTATGTCACAAGCCAATATAACCAGAATGTGTTGTATGTTAAGACATACCTCATATATCTGCATGATTCAGTTTTAGGCAAAACACTAAGAATAATGCTTTCTTCAGAGTTGTTTAAATTGTCCCACAAAGGGACACCACTGAATCAGACATAAAGACACAGTAAGTGCATTCTCATGTTACTAACAACAGTCTAACGAATGCTCAACAAGCTGCCCATTTTTCTATTGCCCAAGGGCTAAAAATAAGGCTTTTGTTTGTTTGTTTTATTTTACATTTTTAAAAGATTGTTAAAAAAAAAAAGATGCAACAGGACACAGTATGTTGCCTCTAAAGCCTAAAACATTATCTGGCCCTTTACAGAAAGTTTCCATACCACTAATGTATAGCAAAGTATTTTTGAAGGTTTAGATAGCAAACTCAAAAAAAAAAAAAATCGGTGATTCTGCATTCCTAAATGAAGTCTCCCCCCGAGGTTCATTTAATTTTCAACTATCATTTATGAGTATCCTAGCAAAACAAACACAACCTCATGTGTTCACTTCTCTTTCAACTGGGGCTCAAAGTAAGCATTCATAGTGTAAAAGAGCAGTATTTTTCAATCACTAATACACATGCAATTCTTGCACCACTAATTCTGAAGGCAAACCATAAATGGCGGGGAAAGGAATGTAAATTCACTTCTTTCTTTTTATCCTAAAATACAGTCCTGTCCCCACCTAGCCCAAACACCGGCAACTCCACAAATATGTACTCACCATTAGCCTTCAGTGAAGAAAGGAGACAAGCCATCATGCTTTTGGCTACGCTTGGGTCAGTTACTTTTTTGTGAATATCCATCTTTATCAGAGAAGGGAAGTTGGCAAGGAAAGTTTCTGGCAACACTTCCTGCTCTTCATGGAAACTCAACATTATTTTCTGTAAAAATGAGGAAGATTCTTTTTGACTTTCAGTAGCTACTCATTATGAATCTATATCCCAGCTACAGAACTCAGTAACAGGAAAAGGAAAGTAACATTCAAGAACTCTTCTGGTAATATAAAATTACCACATGTAGAATTAGTTTATAATTCTAGCTGGAGCGTTCACTTTTTAAAAGTTTGTCTAAATGTAATGTGGTATACTGAATTGGATCCTGGAATGGAAAAACTGGTAAGTACAGTGAGGTGTTTATAGTAATGAACCAAAGTTGGTTTCTGAGAGCAGGATAAATGTAGAAAATAGGTGAGGGGTATATGGAACTCTATTATCTTTGTAACTTCTGTACATCTACTATTATTCAAAATAAAAGTTTTTTAAAAGCTTGTATTGCTTGCACAAAAATGTGACATGTACTTTAACACTACTGAACTGTACACTAAAAAATGGTTTAAGGAAGGGGGAGGGGCAAGATGGAGGTGGAGGATTATGAGGTACAAACTATCAGGTATAAAATAAGCTAGAAGGATGTACTGTACAACATGGAGAATATAGCCAATATTTTAATTACTATAAATCAAGTATTAACTTTAAAAATTGTGACTCACTATATTCTATACCTATAAATGAAATATTGTACATCAGCTATACTTCAATTTAAAAAGTAGATTGTAAAGTACATAAAGTTTAAAAATGGTTGACAGTAAATTTCATACTGTGTATACTTCACCACAATTTTTACAAAACAATTTGTAATAAACACAAGTCATTCTTCATATGTTTCTATGCTGAAAACTGTCAGATATGGAAAAGCAACACATCAACAGCTTAATCACCAGCATTCTGCAGTCTGTGTCAATGAATCCCAAGTAAGGGAGGCCACTCCAAACCAGCCCCTTATTACATAGCCATCCGGCCAGGGGCAAAAGGTGAAAAATAGTAATAAACTATAGAGAGAATGTGAGTACACTGGTGTGGGGGTGAGGGGTAGAGGATTTTAGAAAAGGGGAAGAGAAGCAATATGGAAGAAAAAAGTTGTCACAAATATGAGTCCAAATATATTATCTATGAGTATTTACTAAGCATAAAAATTACCCTCAAGAAAAAACTTCATTTAAAGTTCATCCCTATTATTTTTTAATTACAATGAGAAATGCATTACTGAAAAAATAAGTTAACTTCATTAGTAAGCAAATGAGAGATTCTGGGTGCCCTGAGAACCCAAAGAAGAGACTACAGCATCCTTAAGTTTGGTGCTTCAAAACAGGGAGGGAAAAAGAAAGTTCTTTAACTGTCTATATTGTGCTTTTACTTCAGGAAGTATTACAACACTTCCAAGTCAAAAACTGTAGGGAAGTTACATGCTAATAAGAATAAGCCCTAAGAATCCTTTTCTGTAAGAAAGTGTAGAAAGCAGAGATTTTAAGATATATCTACTCCCTTTATTTTAATAAATACTTAAAAAAAATTACCAGTGTATAATTCTAAATCTGTGAATTACCTCAGCCTCAGAGAGTTCTTTGTCACCATTTGGCTTGGTATACTTCTCCTGCATGAAGGGAATCCAGGAAATTTTACATTTTTTAATGAAGGGAGTCACATCTACAGTGCCCAGGGCATAACCACATATGCCATCTTCATCTTCTAGGACAAAACAGTAATCCAGGCTGAGGGAAAGCAACCCTCCTACTAACCTGCTCAGAAAAAAAAGAGGCCAGAGTGAGTGAAGTTACTAATGTTAATACTTTAGAATTCAGTGATATAAGACCCAATACACTCAAATGACAACCTGTGGAAACTATATTTGATGGAAATACAAACTAGAAATACACACGTATGAATACTCAAATTTTTTAAAACTAAAGTAGAACTTCTAAAAAACTATTTCCAATCATCACCTCCCCTCAACCTGATAAATATGGCTATGAAATGTTTATTCCCAGGTCCAACAAGTCCAAATACTTCATTCATCACATACTTGTCTCCAATAAGGTCAGGCTGACTTTGAAAAGGTAAACCCACTCCATCGTCATACATTTCTCTGCAAATCTTGTACACGGAAGCCTGAAAATATAATCCAGTTAAGCAATGCATCAAGAAACAGAACTTAACAATATGACACTCATAAGTCAGACTGGACTTCTAGAAGAGGGAGTAACAAAATGTCTGGCTTGTCATAAATACCATCTCTGCTTCAGTCGTATTTGTGAAGCTAGTAGAAAACAGCGTGATTATAGTAAACAGAGAACTGCTTTGCAGTTTTAGGCAGTAAGTAGTGTATTCAAAATCCAGCGAACTATAAGGTAGAGTCTCTCTCATTTTTCTATATGTCCAAAATGTTTTAAACAGGCTCGCTTTTTTCTATAACTGATTATCAACAGCCTGTAGGTATTTTACAGCTAAAAATTGCAGAAAACTAATATACTGGAGAAAATCAGCCAAGGACAACATATCATTCAGACATACTATTTAGTAATTCCAACTCTGAATACATTTCATCTGATTTTTTAAAGGACTTAGCACAAGATGTTATGAGTCTAAACTCCTTAGGTTCTTCCTTAAACATCCTGGAGGTTCAGTGTTTTAATTAACTTTCTCCATCTAAAGTTCATATTTTAAGACACAAAACTGATTCTTTTAACAAAGGAAAGTAGCAAGTGTTCACCAAAACCATACACCAAGTTGGCAGGTAGACAATTACCTCATCTTTAGGAAAATATGGTCTGATAGTATAAACTTTGGAGGTAGGAGTCAGTGGGGGTGGTTGAAAAAAGAGGTCATTTGCCCCATCAATTGGCAGCAAACGCTGTGGGAAGAAAAAAAAGGGAGATGAATTAGTGCTGGGAAGATACCTATTTCTTAGTGTGCACTGCAGATTACCAACTTAACATTAACTGGCTACTGCAGGCAGACCTAAAGAAGAGGGATGCACTATGCTTTACTAACATAAACACCTCTTTGCTGGGGGAGTAGGGTGCTTCTGAATACAAATTATCCAAACTGAGTTACATAGCTTTAGTGGCATATTACTGGGGATTTAAATTTACAGTATAAAAAACCCAAAAAACAAAACAAAACAAAAAACTACTCCAATTATGACAAATCTATTTTTTAAACCAATCTCATATAGACCATCTTTCTACTAAAAGATGGCAGAACAGAATGTCAGGAGGAGAGGTTTGGTCTGAAGAGGGTTATCTGTCCAGGAGACGCTTTATCCCCAAAGCAATGCGCTTCAGTTTGCTGTGCACAGCAGAGCACCTGTTGGGGGGAGAAAAGTAGAGCACCTGAAAAGTCCATGAACAAATTCCAACACCAAAATAACCTTATATTTTGTTCAAATTTTCATTAATGGACTGTTCTTTCAAGTACAAGTTTTATCTATAATTTAATTGGGAAAATATCCAAAAGTCCTTTTACCATACACTTGCATAATTACTCATCCTTTTTTTTGCTCATGGAGTTTCCACTGGCAGACAAGCATGCGCGCATTGTGCATTGCGGGCGCAGATTAAAATGCTGTGCGACCTGCAAAGAAACAATGTGAAGTGTATACCTAGAGCCGCTGCGCTTCGCAGGCGCGGGGGGAATTGGCAGCATCTCCTTCAGAAATTACTGTGAAAGAGGAGGAAAATTTGATTTAAAATCCAGCTATGTAACTAAATCGAATTTGGGACTAGAAAGCCTTCGGCAGACCAATCCTTCCAGCCATCTGATGCGCAACATAAGGTTTCTCATAAAACAAAGAAAATGTCAATTCAGTTGTGAATTCATATTGATACCTGGAACTCTCCTGCTAGACCACCTCTAAAGGCCCAGGGTTCTTGGTCTCCAATTAAGAACTGTGCTGAAGAATGACTACGACACCCTGTTGAGATCAGATCCAAGCGGAGAACGTTACGAGAAAGGGGATTTCCTGGGGTCTCAAACGTCCAACAAACTAACAAACACTTTGTGGAAATAGCTAACAATAATAATCCAGGGTTTCAGAACAAGGCTGTGATAATAATTTTTTAAAATTTGTAATGGAATTTCAATACTGATATTCCTTCCTCTAATTAATGAATAATCACTGTTAAGAATTCTACCCTTTCTTACATTATTGAAACTTGGTCTGGATCAAGTTTATATATTACCTAGATACAGTTATAAAAATCAAGGCAGCTGCTTGCTCTGCAGCAAAATTACAGTAACCATAGAGTGAAATGAATGAGATAGATGAGATATTTTATTATCACAGCCCACGAAGGAATTAAACCTGTCTGAAGTCACATTTTACATTTTGAGAAAGGGTACAGGAAAGGAAAAAAAGGAAGGAGGGTTAATCTTGTCAGAAAACTAAGGTCAGCAGAATAAATAAAAGAAATTGCTATAATTTGACAATGAAACAAAATGAGTACTTTTTTTTTCCTGACAAGGATAATCCAAATTCAGACCTGGCTAGTAATAATACCAGTCTGACAGATTCTAAACACTAAGGAGAGCTGACTGATGCTTTCCTCTGTCCAGAGCTAAAACATACTTTTCTTAAAAGTATGACCATATCTGGCTCCTCTGATGGACCATTACAGTCTCTGCAGTGCAGAGCTCACACACGGAATGGCAGGCTTTGAGGTCCAGAAGTCAGTATTTAAGGTCACCACTTAACCAACTCCATAGGCAATAAAGAAAGCTAGTAATACAATAATTAAAAGCAAATGCTTGGGGGGCCAAATCAAAATCACCTGCCCAGTCTTCTGACAAGATAAAGCAGCGCAAATAGTTCTTTTCCATTTGAAGACAGCATTCTACCTCCTGTTCAAGTTAACAGTCTCATCAGTACAATATATAGTGTGCTAGTCAGACAGTCCCAAAGCAAACCAAATTTTTTGTTGACAATTCAGGCCCATTAAGAGGTTATATCCAGGGTTGTCATTTTTTAGGGGTAGGGGTACTTTAAAAATATGTAATTTAATATTTGTAAAATAAACATGAAATAGGGTCAAAATTTAGGCTAGGAAGAGAATCTTCCCCATTCCATAGCTCAGTGTAAATGTACACTGCAGGTAAAAACTGTACCTCTCAAACTTTTAAGATCAGCCAATTTCCCCTACCCCCTACTTTGAGACTACAACGTAACTAGCACTTCCAACTATTACAATAAAAAGCTGCATGTACGAAGAGCTGTGTAAATGAAAACATGGTTAATGCCTCAGTCGCTGCGCAAACGTGACTTCAGTTCATGCCTACTGCCCTTAAATCTACCTGAACTACCTCACAGAACCTTTCAACTTAAACTAATTTATCATGACGCGCTGTGAACATCTGCCGCTGTCCATCCAATAGTAGTAGACACTTGTGCTGAGGATTCTCCCATCTGTACACAATGGGGAAGAAGATAATAGAAGTCGTTAGTAATCAAAAGTACTGCATAGCCACATTCTTTAAAGGACTGAATGCCAGCTGGACTGGAGAGAAGGAAAACAAAGGATTCTAATCAGTAACTCCCTGAATTATTATAGAACCATGAAAATACTCTCACTGAGCTACTGTAAAGCTCTGTGGTTGCCAAGATGATTATTTAAAACTTCTAAAATGCTCTGACCTTGAGATTGTACAACAGCCACATACAATTTGGGAAAGCTGCCCCCCTAATTGCACAGTACAGAGATAAAGCTTGAGAAGAAAATGAAGCAATACTGTATATAACCAAGAACTTTTAATAATTCTTGAATTAAAAGCTGAATATTAATTGTTTTAAGCAATACTTTCTCAAGCTCAATAATCCAGATTACAGGTTGGAAATTTAAGACTTCAATTTATAACCCCCTAGCCAAAGCCTAGAAAGCAAATGCCATCATCCAACAATCAATATAGAAGTCTTTCCTGCACCTAAGGGCACTTACTTATCCATCACAGAGAAGAGGTATCTTGGAGACTTTTAACAAGAAGAGAGCAAAATTCTCTCTTCTACTTGTTATGTTATATACATAGCAACTCAAAGTTCTTTATTTTCATATTAACAGAGACTACTTTTAGCTGCTAATTAGTTGTACCACAGGAAAATTTTTTTATATGAGTCCAAAAGTATACAAGCAGAAAGTGAGAAATCTCTTTGCAACTATTCCTGAGTTACTCTAAGCTCATGTTTCACACTTCTATTTCACAACTAAGACTACGTAACCCATCATATTATTTGTGACTACTATGAAAACTATGACATGTCAGTTAGCCTTGCTGCCTGCTGTGTGCTATGTGTCTAAGTCCATTACATATTCCTTATAGCTGGATTGAAAACCTGGAAATGAAATGAAATCCCTGGAGGAACTTGGCCATGCTGGTGCTTTTTACAAAGTTTGAGAATTAAAAAAAAAAAAAAACCAACAACAAAAAGAGCCAGTTTTCAAAAGAGACATACTGAAGTCCATTTAATGAAGCAGAGAGTTTTTAGGGGACTGTAATTTCTATCCCCTGCTAAAACCAATTACGTGGTTGAGGGATAAAGAAAAAGTCATGTGAAATAATACCAAGTAGCACCAGAATAGCCTACCACTAAAGCTCGCATGCGCACAGGGCTGGGAGGATGGCTTCCTCTTTCCAGGCCCCTTAGGGTCATTTCAGCAATTGTTCTGTTAAACACGGCATTATCATCATCAAGACACAGCAAGCAGCAGAGAGCTTAGAGAGTCACAATTCATAGTGTCTAATCTCCAAATCACATAAATGTGGTATACAGGGTTCCATCCAGGAAGCATTCAGTCAGAGCAAGTTAAAGTCAGTACTTTCTAACACATTGTCAAGATACTTATGCTGAATTAGCCCAAGGGAGAAAAATCAATGTGCCAGATATACACTGAGGCTTGCACCTCAAGTCTGCAAAAATGGCTACACCTTTGAAAGAAATTTAGGTAAAGAGTTTAAACAGTTGGAAATTTGCCAATTACCTAAATGTTTTTCTCCCTGTGGGATAATCTTTTTTTTTTTAGGGGACAATATATCTGAGGAGAAGAGATTATTCCTGTTGCACCTACCTAACCACTGTACAAAAGACTTCACCATAGACATTATACTCTTGATATCCCAAACATAGGAGTACATGTCATAAAGGATTGTCCTGTTGGCACAATTGGAGAGCCGAGTGAACATTCCCATCACTAGTCCGCACATCTCTTCAAACTTGGCTGCTCGTGACCGCCATTCTTCAATCTATTGAGGATTAATAAAAACACTCAAAAAATTGAAAGCTTAACAAAATAATCTGAAACAGTTACAAACAAAAGCTGTTTATGTTATCAGGTACCTGCAAATTTATTCTAAATATTAAAGACTCAATGGGTTAAACTCTTCAAGACAAGCAATAAAAGTTTGTCTCTCCCCAAACTGACAAATATTCCTAAAATAATCAACTTTGACTTTTCTTCATTCCTAACTACTATAAGGTCAAACTATGGAACTGTATGTACCAAATTCAGCAGAGTTCACATCTACTTTACAGAACACATTCTAAGATGTGGTCAATTCTCGCTCATTTAAGACCCCTCTATATCATCAGCACAGGGACCCATTCTGGCTAAAGCAGCAGGTAAATTAAGCATACTCACTTTTTCAGAGTCTTTCCCTTTGCAATTGACGCTAACAACACTGCTATTCGCTCGAAGCCACTGGAACTCCCTTAACATCTGTGCTCCTTTGGGTCCAT